CTGCGCAGAAAAGAGTCAAACAGAAGCGGGACCTGGAGCGATGCCGCGTCCGTCTGTTCTCCCCAACAAACATGTCTTATGATCTTATACTGGAGGTGTGTCAGACAGAACAATGCACATTCGTCACAAGAGAGATGAGTCATACGCGGCTGCAGACGGGAAAGTTTGGGAGATACATTAAGCGCACTGAAAGGACCTTCGAATTTGATAAGAAGGAACACGCTGTGAGTACATTTGAGATAGGCCCATGCAGATGGTGACCAAGGCTATCGCTGAACAAGAGGCCCTTTGTGCTAATGTTTCAAACAGTGATGGGAAGCGGGTTTTCAGACGCTGGGAAAGAAGACGCATGTATCGACCTAAATGATTAGAATATCTTGTGCCGGGAATCTGGCCATAACACTCCTCCCTCTGGTGGCAGCATAGGGAGCTACAGGCAGAAAGCATTTATTGCCCTTCATAATTGTTTCACCATATATTTTGTGCTTTAAGCATTTTTCTAAACAAGCAACTAAGCAACATTCTAAAACGTGAAATTGTCTCATAATTATTAACTGGCACAAATAATGCATAATAGTGAATTCATTTTATTATGTATAAAGCCAGATCCTGTCAGACCTCTGAAGCCAAACAGGGCAGGGCCTGGCTAGTACTGTTATGAGAGACCTCTGTGAACACCATGTGCCACAGTGGGGCAACTGCGGCTGTAAAGTGCCACATTGCCGTTGTGTCCTTGGGCAAGACACGTCACCCACATTGCCAAGAATGAGTCAGGTGTATGAATGTCTAGTGGTGGTTGGAGGGGCCGATGGCACATACTGGTTGCCTCGCTTCTGTCAGTGTCCTCCCGGCAGCTGTGGCCATAGTAGTAGTTTATGACCATCGTGTATGGAGTGTCCAAAAAAGCGCTATATATAAAACCCATGCATTATTATTTATAACTGTAATCACACAAATAACGACGACACAAGATTCAGGAACAAACCTGAGCATTTATTGTTGTTACTGTTTTTTGTGGTTGATTTTTTTGGCAGGTAACAGTGTTCTCTAAATGAATGACGGAAACCTCCTCTGCTGTTTCTTGCATAGGTCTTGCCTGCAGTCAGTGGACACACACACCCACTTGTGAGAGATGGAGAGATTACATCACAAAAACCATGCAGAAGTAGTGAAAGGCACAATCACCAAACATATACACCTATTCTGTTTGTATATAGCGTTTATGGGGAGAAAGGTGTACTAATTTAGATGTAGCATGGGCCGTATACCCATAAGTCTATGAAGCTGCCTTTAAAGTCCGAGCACAACATAAATGATTCTCAAACATTCAACATCTTAATTGGTGAACAGCTCTACTGCAACTGGGAGAACACAAGCATTTCCTATTGTATGATACATTTATAAACTATTTCTCCCTCTGTGTCAGCCCTAATTCATTCATAAACACACATACACTGAACGTAAGTTTTTAGTAAACCAACAAAGGAGAAAGAAAACTAGACTCAAACTGGAGAAGATTGCTCTAAAGTGTGGTGTGCACAATCATTGAATTTGTCTGTTAACAGCAGTAAGATCAAAACACGGTTAACAGGTTACCCACTGCCAGTCACGAATATCAAAAATCAAATTTGCTTTACAGACTACATAATAAAATAGTGATTCAGCTTTGTTTTGGGAATATGCCTAAATACTCATATACATATACAGATGTGCTGGAAAGAGTACACAAGCAGGCAGAAATGTAGATTTTTCTTTGGCCATATTTCAGAGAATGTGAAAGATAACACAAAACATGTTATCACTCATTGTTAAGGTATGGTACACGTTATTTATCCCCACATTTGACCCACATCTTTCAACGCCTCTGGGGCCTCTATCAGGAGCAGTGGTTGCCGTAGTATACCACCCATCTCTGGATTAAGATGTCAAAACTAGCGAGGACTGGAAGATTTTGCCTATTTTGCATGTTTTTAGTGGTAGTGGAAACCGGAGCACCTGGAGGAAACCTACACAGACATGGGGAGGACATGCAAACATCATTAAGAAAGGCCCTGTTCCAAACAAGATTGAACCCAGGAGATTCTTGTTGAGAATTGAGAATGCCTAATGGTTATGTGAAGTAATCTATTGTGACATTTTTCAAGTTTTTATATCTCTCTTTCGATCTCTCTTAATTTGACGACAGAAATAACTCCAATGATGATGAGAAGTTTCCATCCCCCAGTTCTCATTAGCGTCAAATGCCCGTGAAGGTGATGTTATCAACTTCAATTGTTTTAAAAGATATAAAAGAAAACATATTTTGAATCATTAGACCTCGTTCTCTCATGAAAATTAAAACATTTTCAAGCAACATATTTCAAATAGTCCTTCCTCTTGGCAAAACTACAACTATGTAACAGGCCTGAGGAGAACAGTTCGACCAATGGAAATGATTTGTATTGATATCGTCCAATCAGGAAGCTCCAAGGGTGAGCAGGAGCCGGTCGAACTAGCGCTTGTAATGTTTTTTATTCTCTCTCTCGTCACAATTTGAAAATCTATGACAGCTTTCTGGTGTTTTGTGATTGTCATTCATAAGGTTCTTTTTCCTACAGTGATAAAGCTGCCCAAAAAAGCATCAAGTTCCTATCAATTCCTGGGCTGCCTTGCATGAACCACTCATTTGAGATCTCCCACCCAGAGCCACTCAACAATGTTATAATTTAGTTTCAAACAACCATTAACAATGAGTAATATCAGTGTTTGTGTTATCACTCATGATCTCAAAAGCAACATGGCCAGAACAAAGACATTTCTAAACTGTGCAAACATCCAAGCACAATTGTAATTCATATAATAAACATACACTCACCACACACACATAATATTATTAGAACACCAGTGACGCAGCCTTGGTGGGGGTGTGCTGGCCTGTGCATTGCAAAAAGTGATGAAAAATACAGCAAAAAAATGCTCAAATTAGGCAAGATGTATCTTAATTTGAGCACATTTTGACTGCCTGAAAACAAGATTTGCCAATGGGATAAGCAAAATGATCTTGTTTTAAAAATAGATCCATCCATCCATTTTCTACTCTTTAATCCATTTCTGGGCCAGGGGGGTGACAGTCAGAGATGCCACCCAAGTCTCATAGCACCAGCCCCTCACTGACCCTCTGCAGGTGGTGAGTCCACAGGAGGACGGCTGCTCTTTGAGTGTGAGCATAGCCTTGATCTTTCAGTGGGGGCTTTGGGCAAAGTGGGGTTAAGTATCTTGCCCAAGGACACAACGACAGCAGTCATCAGTGGGAGTCAGTGGAGAAGGTGTAGAGGTGGGAATTGAACCCACGACCTTCTGGCCTTAAGGCCAATGCTCTACCAACTGAGCTAATATCATCCCACTGAGCGGGATGTTTTAAAAATAGATATACAAGAAATGTCTCTCTTGGAATGAGAAAATACGGCAACAGTTCTTGAGATAAGACTAAATGGCTTTGCTCCATTGGTAAATATTGTTTTATGACAGTCAGAATGTGCTCAAAATAAGACAAAAACCACCTGATTTGAGCAATTTTTACCTACTTTTTTAATATTTTTTTGCAGTGTGGGCAGTGGTGTCTATGGCACGTAGTTGTTAGTGCGGTTGTATTGGGTTAGAAACACCTGATATAAGCACAGCGGTGTGGTAGTCCCATCAGACTTTTAGGACTCCTGAGGATTTTTATAGGAGAGCATCGGAAATAGCACTAATCATTTATATATAGCTATATTTACAAGAGGAATAAATGAGCAATACATGTATATGATTTTAAAATGGTTTCTAGTAATAAATGTGTCAAAAGTCATGTGTCATTTTTACACAGTTTGAGCCAAACAAAAATAAAATCACAAAGAAACGGGCACACAGCACACTGCTAGAACTCACACAAGTATGACAGTGCAAACATACATCCAAGTCTCATTTAAGTTACAAACATATACTTCAGCACCATTATTTTTAATATTGTTTTGAATACATAAATTAGACCTTAGAGTGGACAGGGTTGAGACGGGCGGAGAGAGAGAGGCGGCTGATGATTAAGAAAATACAATAATCTTTGAGAGCCTGCAGGGGGCGACAGTGAGACTCAGTATGGATTCAGTCTCCTTCTCTTATTTTGTTTTCGCAGCACATTTCAGTGGGAGAGACTTCATTTGTGCTGGGCGCTCTGCTTCATTACAAATCCATGCAACGTCTCGATTTTTCTATGTTGTCGATGGCAGCTTTTTGGGTGGAAAGTATAATAAACAGCAAATGAACATAGGAAATTGAATTAACAAAACCAAACCATTATATATACTGTTCCTCACTTACAATTACGTGTCAAACTTCAAAACCCCAAGACAAACACGACGAATTAGGATTAGAAATTAAGATGAACTATATTTTTTAGAAAAGGTTCTCACGCATGGGGTGAGACATCTCTTATACCTTAAAGATTCTTTCTGTTTTTTTACCCTTTGGTCTGTTTTGTCCATTCACTTTTCCATGCACTTGCTAATATCCTTCAAGATTCTCACAACATAATCTAGTTTGTCTTCTGTCTTAGACATTGTGCAGACAAAAGTATGTCTTGAGCTTTTACACAAAAGCACATTTTTACTCATTCTCAAAACACATAATCAACACAATCAACGTCTGATTTCCACCAAAAAAGATGACATAAGGTGTTACTTACAATTGTTTGTTCTAAATATGGTGTCTCAGAGATTCCAATACATGCCTAGCATAAAATAAAGAGGGAAGATTATTAATATTTAAAAGGATTAAAATAAACTTTTTGTAGTTGATTTTTGTTATATTCCACAGGTGGTGGTTTAGAAAGATCTGCTAGAGGGCTCACAATGAAGTTTGTTATCCAAATTTAAATTAAATATTACAATTTCCAGATAAACAGAATGAAAACCACTGGATAATCTGCCTTACACACACTGGCTAATGCCCTCAGAGTAAACAGCACCACCTAGTGGCTCTAGGTCTTAATGGCAGATGTTGTGCTTGCAAGGCTGGTGAAGAAAGCCGTTTCTAACATGAGCTGCGTGACGGGGAACCTGCTCCCGGGTGCGGTTTTGGCGTTGAATGTGATTGCGGCCCAGGCGGCGTCTCTCGATGCGAGCTTTACTGCGCTGGACCCGGGCCATCTGGGTGACTTTGGCCAAGGCTCCAGCCTGGACAGAGGCTCCACGGGTCACTCTGGGCGGCAGTGTGGTGCAGGTGGCGGGGACTGCGGACGCTTCTATGACTCTGCTGCGAACATCAAAAGATGAGAGAAGATAAGCCTTTATTCGTCCCACTGTGGGGAAATGTCATCGTTGTGCACTTTACAGCAGAATAAAGGAGGGAAATAAGGGAACTCACACACATCAAACAGAATCCAATATTTAAGACAATAGATATAATAAAATAATCAGATAATCAAATAAAACTGAGGCGCTATAATTGCACTCGGTTCGAGGATAAGTCACTTGTGGAGTATAGACTGTAGTCAGCATTATCAAGGGGTATTTACAGAGGTTAATGTTGTACTAAATAGGACTGGAATAAACAAGAATAATAATAGCAGCAGGTAAAGTGACTTGTGAACTATCAGAACAGAATTATCAGACAAATGCAATATTTAATAATGTAGTAAAAAGAATAGCAAATAAAGAGACGATTATCAGAGCAGGTGAATGGTATGTGTACAGCCATTCGCATTGTACAGTCTGACAGCGGCAGGAAGGAAGGACCTGTGGAACCTGTCCTTCACCTATATATAAACAATAGTGGATCTTCTAACTGAGGACTTTAATAGTGAACAAATTGAAATTTACTTATTATCGTTTGAATGCGCTGGCAGCAAGTCAGATGTATCTCTGAAACAGTTGTTAATTTGTATTTTACAAATGTTATCTTTGTTGCTTTTTTCTACCTGTAAACTTTACTGCAGTACAGTGACAAAATGCATTTTTTTACTATTGTTATAGCCTGGCCTTATGTAATTGGTACTATGGTGTGGTACGATACTTTTAGAATTATGTATTTTTAATTTTTTTTATTTTTCTGTGTGTGGATGGATGTGTTCCTGCTGCTACTAGACTTTCTCCTATGGGGATCAATCAAGTATATATCTATACTTACCTCATGCTGCCCACCAGGCTCGCCATGCTCTCCTCTCCCACCGCCGAGAGGGTGCCGCTGGAGCCCAGGCCGGTGCCGTTCTGGGACACATACACAGACATGCTGGGGTGTTCGATGAGCAGGTCCTCCATGGGACTGGCCTCAGCGGTGGCTCCCTCTGCAGTGAAACAGGGGGGAGGGGTGACAAACCAGCTCTCATCCATACAGCCTCTCTCTGAGCCTGTCCAACTGCTTCTCCCACTGCCTCCCCGAGAGCCAGGGGACTGGGACGAGGAGGAGGGCGGAAGAAGAGAGCCTCCAGGTGGGGTGCTGCTCAGGTCTGAAGGACGAGAGCTACAGCTGTGAGCGGGATCTGCTTCTCTCCTTAAGCGGCCTTTGTGTGTCCTGCGCCGCTTGCACAGTGGGTTTGTGGGGGTTTCAGAGCAGTCAATTCTAGAACCTGAGTCTGTTTTATGTAACTGAGTGTTTGGAGAGGATCGCACAGACAGTGGGGGCTCTTCGTCTTCCTGCATCATGCACTCAGCCTCCACTGAACACAATGAACACAGGCAAAGAGAGAGATGACAGGGATGGGGAGGACCAAAAACAACAGGGAGGGGATGCATGGAAATGTATAAGAATTTTGTTTTAATAATTTGGAAAAAAAGGGCGGAGCAATTTTTTCAAGGGACCACAGGCGCACACGCACACATACAAGTGTGGGGATATATAGGGGGTTTTTAAACATTAGGAGAGAAAGAGGGTGAAAGGGTAAAGATACAAAAAAATGGAAGAAAAAAAATGATATCATTAGTTGTTTCTCTAGACCAGAGCAGGCATAGCAGCCCTGTTTTTGACTAAATGGAGTTTGGCGTTACTGGCATTTGTCTATACGACTAGAGGACCTGCACAGATATGTTGTTTTGGCCTCTCCATCCATTCTTAAATGTCACATATATGGGGATCCTCCACTTCCTGTACTCTTTCTACTGTCTATCTACACTGCAAAACATGATGAAAAATAAGTCAAAAATTGCTCAATTTTAGCAAAATGTATCTTAATTTGAGTACATTTAGATTGGCCAAAGAGACGAGCAAAATGATACAAGAGGGGTCTCTCGGGGAATGAGTAAAAATTCCAAAACCAATCGATTCAAGCTATTACTACCTAATTTTTACCTCATAACTGTTGCATTTATTCTCATTCCAACACAGTCATTTCTTGTATCTTTTAAAAACAATATAATTTCGCTCGTCATATTGACAATTCTTGTTTTAAGGCAGTCAAAATGTGTTCAAATGACGATACATTTTGACACATTTGAGCCATTTTTGACTTATTTTCCCTCACTTTTTGCAGTGTATGGCCTCTACACCAGTCTCTTTGGGTCACTCACCCGGGAGGTTGACGATCATCCATCCCTCCTCGTCGGCCTCCGTCACGCAGGGGTTGGGGCCGTTGATTTCTGCCGCCACTTCCTCCACTTCCCCAAAGAGAAGGCTGCTCAAGCGCTGAAACATGACGAGTTGTGGTTGCAGAAGGTTACGAAGGGGAAAGCTGTAGCTGCCTTTGATAACGTTTGTCTTGAATATATCGACGTCTTGTCTCTTATTCTTCTCTGGAAGTCCGTAGAACAGGGAGGCCTCAGTAGTGCAAATGTAAGGTTTCACTTGGTTTCACGTCGATGCAAAGGCCTACGGAAGCAAATTAAGAGAAGAGTGAATGTACTTTTCATTATTACCATTTATGGACATTGCTCGTCTACGCCTTATGGACCAACGGCTGTATGTGTCCTCCGAGATAACTACTGTTGTGATTTAGGGCTATACACTGCAAAAAGTATTGAAAAACAAGTACAAAAGTTTCCAAGTGCTTTGACTGCCTTAAATCAAGATTTGCCAATGAAACAAGCAAAATGATCTTGTTTTGAAGTGAGAAAATACAGCAGTACAACACAAACAGTTCTTGAAAAAAGACTAGATCGCTTTGTCCCATTGGCAAATCTTGTTCTAAGACAGCCAGAATGTACTCAAATAAGATAAAAACCACTTGATCATTTGCTCATATTTGATCATTTTTGCAGTGTATACATAAATAAATTGAATTGAATTATTGAGTGAACAGCAACACAAAACGCTCCCCAGGACACTCTCTGGTTAAGTTGTTAAGTGGTGGGCGGTGGTCTATTGGCCCCTGTCCCCATGGATCAGCTATTACCACCCTGCTCTGGCAGATGGACACTCTGCACAAGTGGAGGAGGTGATAAAGAGAGGTTTGATAAAGGTGGGACACGTGAAAAAAACAAAAAACTAAAATTAGAACGGGGTCTAGTGTATTTATGTCCATGATGTCACTGTGACGCTATTGAACAATGTTTACCTATTCAAAGAAAAGTTGGGAACTGGTTTGGTGAGGTTGCCTTTTTCAGTAGTATATAAAAGCCATTCATAGAAATTAATCTAAGTGAATGAAAGGACTCCCATAAGAAAGTTATATGCTGACTGTCAATACCAGCTAATAAATATATGAAAACTATAATCAATTGAATACAAATTCCAGCCGTGAAGGATTAAAGAATTAAAAAACTTTAGAAGCAACAATCTTTCTCTTAAACTATACATAATTCCCCAAATTCCCTTTCTAAAAAATATTCAAGTTGTTGTTTCTTCCTGATATTGATTCTTCACCTTAGATTTCTCAAGCATGAATATAAGAATTATTCTCAAAATATTTCAATGCAGTTTGTGTTATTCATACTGGTTTCCAAAGTACGTTGCAATAGTGAAATTCACTGTGGATTGAATAAATGTTCTATTCAATTTGGTTATGTATTTAAGTCAGTTTGGTGGCATCAATACTTGTTCGAAGTAGTACATTCTTTCAATACTTTTTTAATCTATTTTATTTTCTGATTAAATTTTGAACCGTACAGTCTCTTTTCAATATGTTCAAACGTAAATAGACAACAACATACAAAAAGAACTAACATATAAACTGTGGGTAAGGGAGGGGACTTGGATTGTTACTGCAAAGGCAAAACAAACAACAACGCAAATCAACATTTCTTAAATACGCAGATATTCTATTGCTTTTGGGTGATGTATTTAACCTTAAATTAAACAGGAAAGTCCAATTGAGATTAAAAACCATTGAGATAGGTTTTTCAAGAACCTATTTCTTTTAGTATGTTTTTAGTCAATACTAGTTTTCATATCTGATAGAATCAGAATCAGAATCATTTTTATTGCCACGTAAGTAACAGGAAGTCACAGACTTGGAAATTGTTTTGGCTCAGTTCAACAGTCAGAAAGAGAGGTAAAGAGTAGAGAAGGCACAATAATAATACAAAAAATACAAAAAAATAGTTGCTACTTTTGACACACCTTCACACACCATACAAATAAAAATTCTCAACCTACACGGCAAAAAGTGATGAAGAATAAGCAAAATGTGTTTTATTTTAAGCACGTTTCGACTGTCTTAAAACAAATTAGAATAAAGTACAATTGGGATATATTTATATACTGAAATTTGATTCACAATTGGTCGAATTGTGATGCATAACTGACTCTTTCATAACAGTGGGTTGGACAGTGTACATGTCTGGACTACGGTCTTTAAAATAGATCTCCAGCAGGAAAGGCGGAGATCTGAGGGCGGAGTTTTTAGAGGAATGAAAACAAGACTCATGACGTTATGCGCTTGTCACTGACGCTTCTCTGAGGGCTTCGGACCAAAGAGAAACACGGGCAAGATTGAACAGGAAAAAGAAGGATTATACAAGAATGGAAAAAGCCAGTGTGTACAACATTCATTCAACAACGTCGATGTTGTGCTGCTATAGCTGTGTTATGTAGTGTGTGTGTGTTGATATTACACAAGGTTATGAAAGGCCGTCGCAGTGTTTATAAAGCAATCTAGAGCAGTCGATCCTGCGCAGAAAGACTCCACAGCGTCGGCCTCAGTCTACGGCAAACATAGTGGCGTTTATCCAGGTTAATGTGAGTTATCCGTGTAAGCTCTGCAGACGAGGGTCACAGCAATGACAGGCCACACGCACGCACACATACACACGCACGCACACACACGCACGCAAGCACACAGACCTCAAACACGCACGCACAGACACACACACACACACACACTAAAGGGAGATGGTGGTGTTCTGACTGCGTTTGTTACATTTATTAGGTCACAACACAAAGACACTGCGTTCCCTTTAAGCGGCGGCTCTAAACTGGCCCAAATGCGTCCTGCATCCGTCTGCTCCAGAGAGAAAAAAACAAGATCAACATCCGCCATCGACCTGACTGCACATCAGCGTTTGGAGAAAAGCAAAGCACAAAAACACTTCAGAAACACACGGATACAAAGGCAGATGTGTGTTTTTATGAGGCGGCGAACACACCGAGGATTGTGCTTTAATGTGACATTAATGTGACATTAAAGTGAGATCATTGTTACTCGGACTGTTCAATCATTCAGACTGTGATGCACACGGAGCCTCTTTACATTCAATACTTATCTGCGTAATTACACAGTGACGTCGAATGTATCCTTTTCTGGCGTGTGGTTTAGTGAAAACACGACAATAAGGCCCCCCCAAGATGACAGGTGCATTCGATGCTAAAATCCTTGTTTTTCATGCACACAGGATTAGTGACAACAACAAAACGATTCTTACCTGCCTTTGCAATATTCTCACAAGTTGTAAACGATGTGACACAAAATAGCCAATAAATAATAGCTCTTAAAGCATAGCTTTAGATAGCCTTTACTTGAGGTAGCCTAGTTAAAACACTATGTTACAAAAATAAAAGGCTTTCTTCTTAGAAGAAGGGCTTCGTGTAAATCAGTTACACTTCAGAACGTAACATCTGCAGCTTTTCTCCCTTTTCTCTAATGTCCTGCTGCAGATTTGTTTATTGCTGCCTCCAGCTGATCCTCGGATCAGAATGTAGAGCGCACAAAACAGCTGATTGTGAGATCACAATACTGGAGGCCACGCCCCGTGCCGCCCCCTGGTATAAACCAACCAATCAGAATATTACACAGGCCCAGGCTCAGGATCCAGGCAGAGTGGGGGCAGGGCGCAGCGCTGTCAAACAGATGGAAGCGAAGACTTGAGCGCAGACTGATCCCAGACCAGCGAATAGTTGAACCTTCTCCAGAGCAGAGCAGCAGAGCGGGGGATGGGAATCTGACCTGCGAGCGGAGCTCTGGATGTCGATATAATGTTTTCAAGTCACCAATATTTAACACTCTTACACGAGGCAGAGCTGTATGTAACTCATTGATTTGCTCAAGACATTGTTTTCAGCATGTTTATGAGGTTGTGATAATCCTTGTGGATTATAATTTTCTCACATAATGGACAATTTGAGTTCTGCGTCCTCTTTGTAACTTTGAACGCACTCATATTATGCAAAGGCACATTCTTGAGAATTTTCTCCTCCTGTCTCTTTCAAAGTGGATGAGTAGTGTATAGTGTAATATACAGTAATGTGAAATATGTCACCAAACGTAACTGTGTCATAATGTATTCACTGTTGCTCATTAGCACATTACTGCTGTGGTGGCATCAGTGACGTACAGACTGTGCTGGCTTCTGAAGAGCTGGTGATATGGTTTCGCCTGATACAGTTACCAGGTGCTAGGCAACTTGCTCTGACACACACACAATTGAGAACACATTCACCTTTGAGTAATGATGACATCCAAACCCTGGTCACAAAGACCAGGGACTGTTTGTGCAGCAGCAGTTCATACAGCAGACAAAATATGAGGAACTCTGTGTCCCTCAATAATATCCCAATTGTTTACACCTAGAACATAGCTAACATACCAATAAACTGGGTATTTGACAGATGTGATAAAACTCCCTTTTCTTCCAATATTTGACAGACCAGCGATGACCAGTTTCCCCCATGGCCTTTACAGATTCCCAGGCTGTTTGAGAAATAGGTAAGAGGTCATGCAGTGCCTCCCTCTGTCTCCCATGTCCATGCATGCATCACTCAGCTCTTGTTTTGCCACATTCTGGTCTGGAAGTCCTTTGCTCGACTAGAAAAAAATGTGACTCTAAACCACTTGAATTTGAGTATGCTTTTGTTTGTGGTTAAAGGTGTGTCAGACGAGTGAACTCTGTGACTCCTGAAGCTAATCAAAACAAGGAAGAAGCAATGCGAACCAGTTTTCAGAGTTGTGCTTATGTTATGTAACGTGTTTACTATCAACATGCTTCAATGAGCCGTTGGTGACAATAGAGACACCAACCAATAAGAGTTACTCAAACCCCTCATCATTACTACCTGTTTGTGTGTATTAAAATAACAAACAGTTTCCTTACAGTTGAGTATTAACAAATAGTTGGATTCTTTGGGAAGTTGAGGGCTTGTCGATGAGGCCTTGTATAGTTTTACTGTAAATGTGTATAACAGCCTCTGCCCAGATAAAGATTAGACTCCTAAGCCTAAGTTTTCTTTTATATATATATATATATATATATATAGTTATAGTACAGTTTTTCTCTGGGAGTAAGCTCTAAAGCCTCATTTCCACCAGCCCTAATTGGTCCTACTCTACTCTTCCCTGATTGGGAGTGTTTCCACTGGCCCTGACCAGGTCCTTTTTTAGTATTGTACCTGCTATGCCCTGGTTCTATCCAGGCCGAGCTGGTACTAAAATGTTTTGACTGACAGTGAATGGCTAGAGTGCTGCTGGAAGCCATGGTTACCAAGGAATTTCCACGGATACTGGTTTGTTGTGAGTAGGTTGCTTGGATATGAACCTAGACACAAAAGTGTAATGGACACAAAAACAGATTCAAGTACAGTAGACTACAGTAGGATTGAGTACATTAGGGCTGGTGGAAACAAGGCTTTACAGAATGTAAAATGATGGGACACAACTTTATAAAGATATTTCACATTAACAAGAGTGTGATCGTTATTTATTGACAAAGAAAATTAAAATTAAATCCAGTTGTTCCTGTCCAGGTACAGTGGATCTTTAAGAAGCTACAGTAGATCTTTCTGTTGCTTTTACACGGGCCTCTCTGGGCTTACATAAGTGGCTGCAGGCGGGTGATAAGACCGAGGCTAGAGTGGAACACTCGCTTCCGGGGTCTCTTCTTGAGATTATTGTAAACAAAAGGAAAGTTGAGCTGCTTCATTCTGCCTTTGATGATGTAACTACCATTTGTTGTGGACGTTATAGCATGTTTTTTTAAAAATCTTTTTCTAATATTGCCATTTTTTGGTGGAATGATACTTTTAAATCAACGTTATAGACTTTGAACATAAAGTCCCACTGTGTTAAGCAAGGGACAGAGAATGGTCCATTATGTGCATAATACATGCTCAGAAACATCCCTTGTGTGATAATAATAAACCTTTTTCACACGGCCTTATTCCTGAACTTCGTACCGAGTGGTGGTTAGCTGCCCTGGGATGAACTGACTGAAGCAAGGCGACCACGTACACACACATACACGCACACAATCATACTCTGTGGGTGAAGTGTCTTACCATAGTCCACAATAGTTTGGCACTTAGCAGCCACAGCTGTCCCACTGTGACACCTGGTGTTCACGGAAGTCTCCCATGACAATACTTACCAGGCCCAGCCCTGCTTAGTGTGACAGAATGTGGCCACACCTGCTTTCACATGCAGGTATGGCCCGGTATGGCCACAATGCAGGTTATGTAATCACAAACAACCAGGATAAATAGACTAACTCTGAAGATTTGTTTACAGAAATATTGTCAAACATATTAACTTAATCATAAATATTGTGACTGAGACTTGTTTAAGTAACATTTTGTGAACAAATCAGGCAAAAACATGTATTTTGCATACTGAGAGCTGATTGGCTAAGAGAGAAAGATGTGAGGCCATAAATACATACATGTGAAAACTATATTTAGAGGGAGGAACTATACATAGACTTTATTAGATAACTATTTGTTAGGATTTAGCAGACAGAGACGGATCGTGGTGTGCCAAACTCTGGAAGTTTATTTAAGTTTCTCTCAAGTTCCACTGGTTTACTCTGTTTCTTTCTCTCAGACAGAATAAAGGCAGTACACAGTTTATATAGTCATTGTCACGTCACACATCGAAAGACATACGTGTCACAAAGAGACAGTCACATCATAGTCATAACATGGAGTCCTTGTACAGTCCTTGTACAGTCCTGCACGTAGGCCATATTGCTATCTAATACTAATACCCTCCCCTTTGATCACATAATCACATGTGATCACTCAATTTGATCAATCAATAAAGTGGAAAAAGAAGAAAAAAAAATTCCTAAAAAAAAACTTAAAAAAATTATTAAAAACAAAGAAAATGTATGCATTAAACTCATAATCATCAAATCAATATCAGTGGATTTTATCCTCTATCCTGGGAAAAAATAAAAAACAAAAATAAACAAACAAAAAACAAATCAAAAATAAAAACAAACAAACAAACTCTATTGGACACACAAGAACTCAGCAGATTCAGTCAAAACACAGACAAAAACGAGCTGAGTCTCAAATTTGAAGCTAATTTCACTTTTCTTACTTTATACTTTTATTCTAATGATAATTGTTTACACTTCACTTATTTCACTGTATTATTTTCACTTTTCAATCTTAGACTGTGTACTTTACTTTTACTATTCACTATAGTTTAAAACTATTCTAATCTATTTACAAATATGTTTGCATATTTGCTTCTATTGAGCCATATTCTTAAACTAATTTTAATCTAATAAATCTCTCTATTCTGTGGTATTATACTCTCATTATCAGTTTGGGATGAATGTACATCTTTAATCAAATTGGAACTATCCTTACAAGAGCTAATCTATTTGAGCAGGTTTGGGGTTGGGGTCAGTTATTCTACAATGGTGTTTGTGCTGGAAACTTCTCAATATCTAAATATCTATTATTGTGTTTTTGGGCTACACACAAATACATCAAAATGCTTTTAAATGCTTTTAATTGGCAAGTATCTAATAAAACTGTACATAAACTGTAATGAACTTTATCTACTTCTGAAGTAAATGTTTGTGAAATGGTCCCTTTACCATTTGATATTAGCACTGGCTGGAAATAATCTCTATTTTTGAAAGAATCTATGGTTGATGTCTCTATTTCTACACTATTGTGGCTCTAAAGCTCGGTTGCAGCTTGAGTCAAGGCATATTTCTACGTGGAAATGTTTATGAACAACAAAGGAAGTCAAATTCTACTCTTTTACTACTATTTGACATCTAATAAAACGCCTCAATACTCATACTTTATCATTTTCAAAGATTTTGTCTGTCAGATGTCTGAATACTTAACATGTATATTGCATTTGTCACAGTTTCTGGTTGTAGCAATAGCATCGGCAATAGACATTTTCATTGGCTGGTTCTTGTTCTGCAAATGTCTGTGTCCAATAGATCATCAGATGTCCAGAAGCTAGGGACAAACAAAAACAAAAGAAAGAATCATGAGTATCTCTCTCATTTAGCACTCATCAATGGCATGATTTCAATAATATAAACATCACTCCCCAGTTTTCTCTCTCAGGTCCTCAGGGTCCCCTGAGGGTGAGTCTCAGTCGTCATCAGGTCAGGTCATATTTCGAGAGATGTCATCTTGGACATCAGTAGGGTCCAAGCCATGGTTTTGGTCTCTCCAGATGCACATCAGGATCTCCAGATACAGTCTTTTCAGTTGAAGCACACATCAGGTCATTTGCGATGCACTTCTGGTCAATGGTGCAGTGTCTCAGTTCCTGTACACAGCTTGTAATGCAATAGTTACTTTCTATGGTTAGTCTATGGATTCTACTTTAACACAATTTCTATTCATGCTGTTGCTAATGTCTCTCAGACAAAAGCAAGCGCAATTTACTTCTCTAATTTGTGTTTTTATCATATCTAATTCTAATCAATGTAATTACTTCACACAGTACAAAATCAACAAATCAAAAGTGTCAGGACAGAGGTCAATTATGTCCATGACAATATAGAATTCAAATGAACATTTCTGGTCCCAAAAATACTGATTCAAGTGATAGACAATTAAAAATATTTGTTTACATTGGAGTAAACTTTTAAAATGCTTTTTTCTCATGTTCTGCTTTTTCATGTATCTATATGTAAATGTGAATGTGTGAGTGTATGAATGTATGTGTGTGTGTGTGTGTATGTGAATTTTGGGGTTGTGTCTCCAGACTCCTCGAACCACCTGCAGGTCTCAAAGGTCACACTGTGGTGATGCAAACCAACTGGACACACTTTCAACTGCCTCTAGGTCTCTACCTGACGCTCCACCCATCACGTCTCCAGATACCTCTCTTTCATGGCCCCGGTCTCTCTCACACCCACTCAGTTCTGCAGTGGCGTGGGGAGGGGCAAGGAGGTGGCATTTCCCTTTGCTCTTTGATCTGTGACCTGTGGCTGGGTGGGCTTTGGTGTCCAGTGTCCAGCAGTGACCTCTCGTACAGTGAGGCAGAGTCTTATTCTTGTCAAACCGGTTCCAAGGACTGTCCGAGAGGTCTGCCAACCTCTTTTCCGCGTCGGAATATTCAATTTAAAAAACAAAAGTGACAGAAGCGACAAGAAGCATCCAGGAACAGCTCTTCCAGCCTGCTGGAATCTCCGCTCCCAGACACAGCATGCCGATCTCTCACGCAGAGGAAAAGAAACAGAGCAAACTCCCTCAAAACAATC